CAACGAGGTGGATCTTGAAGCACAAAGGAGCAGCTGCGGAATGGGCTGGAGGAAAGAATTCACCGAGTTTTGCTCTCCCTCGTGGGTTAGTTAAAGGTGAATATCCTGGCTGGGTGGTGGGTGCGGTAGTGTAAGTGAATGGATTTACATTCTTAACTGTAGTGCTACAGCGTGTAGATTCAGAATTAAAACCTTTTCTCTCTTTACCTCCGTGGAAGATAAAACAAGCTACTCCTCTAAGGTTTTTCCTCTCTCAAGACCAGCCTTAATTGTGAATGCTTTTCTGCTGTATTTGTACTTCAGCTTCTATATAAAGCAAATTTTGTGGCTTACAGGTAAATAAAGTTTTGAAAAGTCTGAGTTTTGCTTCAGTTTACCAATGTTTCCATGGGACACGTCTACCTTTACAGACTGACTGGAAATGTTGTGTGGGTGCCCAGTGGAACTGGAGTGCATTGAAATTTGACGGATTTTTCTCAGCCTCACTCCAAATTGGAGTCTTGGAGTCACTTCGGTTGGATGGGGATTACAGCAGTGCCCCTGGCAGCTGTGCCAGGGATGTTCAGCCCTTTCTGGGGAGAAATTACCCAAAATCCAGTTTAAACTGTGTCATACCCTGGTTCTACTGTGTGGATCCAGATGGTTTCAAGGCTGAGCTGAAATACTTGAACGACTTTACAGTGCTGTTTAGACAATCAAAACACCGCTGTAGCCATGGAGATTATTAAAAAATTTTATTAAGAGGAATGAACCGAAAGCTGTAAACAAGAGCCAGCAGAAATGGGATGTTGCAGGTGAGGCTGAGCCCTCGCACGTGGCTGGGTGCTGTGAGCAATTAACGGGGATAATTAACGCTGCGCTGAGCGGTTCCGCGTGGTGGCAGCAAAGGCCCGTGGAAAATCCCGAGGAGGAGCTTGGGGCCAGCCCAGTGTGCAGGCACTGGAAACCAGTCCCGCACTGGGAGAGGGGCTGGGCCTGCTCCAAGGTTGGGTCTAAACCACAACCAGGGCTGTGAGAGCTCTGCTGGAGCAGAGTCTGTTCCCCACAGGAAGTGCTCTAAAGGGAAACATTTAAATCTTCCTCATTTTATGGGGTTTTTATTGGTTTTAGACCACACTGAGCAAGAAGTGAGCAGCTGCAACCCAGACAGATGCCAGTCTGAGGAGAGGGAAGGTAGGAACTTAGCAATAGGAATCCTAATCCATTGGGAATCCCAAATTTTAGGGAGACTCCTTGTTGCCTTGGCATGGGGCTGCTGCTGCTCCAAGGGCAGGATGAGGAAACAGCCACAGAGCTGCCAGGCTGGTCCTGCCCCACACAAAACCAAATCACTGGGGTGAGGGGGCCCCGACAGCCCCTCCATCACCTGGCTGCTCCTGCAGGACTGGCAGCAGGGTTTGCTGGGAATGCAAACGTTCCTGCATAAATGGGTTTTCCACAGGTGAGTTGGAAATTTAAATCAGCTTTAAGAATTGTCTCTCCCCTAAAGTACTATTCAGGGAAGAAAGCTGGTTCATTTTAAGATCCTTGTTCACCGTGTGAAGCTGTAGCTGCTCGTGTTGCTGTAGCTCCCTGAGGAGCGGAGCTCGGAGCACGTGGGAGCTGCAGAGGCTCCTTGTGCCCATCAGGAAGGCAGTGCTGGAGCCAAAATCCAGGCAGAATGAGGGGCAGGGGCATCTGAGTCAGCAGCTGGGGGCTGGTGCTGGCTGCAGGGCAAAGGATGGGTGATTTATTCTGTTCCATGTGGAGGAGCCACCGGGGCTCGGCACAGCGGGCACCTGCTGATGTGTGCGTGGAGTTTTCAAAGGGAGAGATTGCCAAAGGCCAAACACTTCATCCAGATTCAGATTTGTACTGAGAAGTGCAGCTTGACAAAAAAAAAACAGCCAAAAGCCTGACACAGACCAAAGGGGTGAGGAGGCCCTTGAAGAGAGCTGGCAGGAGTCTGCAGCCTGTAAAATCACTGCCTGCAGCTTCCCCCCAGCTCTCCGCGGTGAAAAGAAAGAGCTGCCCAAGAGAACTTTGAAGATATCAAAGCGTTGTTGCAGTCTGAAAACACCATCACACTTACAGGAAGGTATTTAGAATAAGCTGCAATACATTAGGATTCTTCTCAAAGTACCAGAAGGGGCGGAAGGAGGAGAAGCAGAGGCTTTCCCAGAGGGATGGACATTCAGAAATCTGTGTACACAGCCAGGTGTGCAGGAGCTCACTCGGACAGCCAAGCTCTGCCTTTGCAGGGAGCAGAGAATCCCTCACTGTGGGAACGTGTCCCACCTCACAGGGATGGGCAGACAGCAGAAAGCACCTACAGGAATGGCTGCCTTCAAACATCCTTCCTGCACGCCCCAGGCCAGGGCTCTCAGCTGGATTCCAGGTACACAGGGAGAGAAAAGGGAATTCAGGACGTTCTCCTACCCAGAAAAAATCAGGACTTTTTTCCTCCTAGGTGGGGAGAAGGCGTTGGTTCCCCTGCAGCACAGCCTGGCTCTCACCAAGCTCAGAGCAGCCTCACAGAGCAGGCACAGAGGGAGACCCCAGCCCCTTCCAAACACCCTCCTCCCACCTGTGAGCAGGGCAGGGACGCTGGCCAGGGGAGCCGGAGCCGATGGATGCGGGGGCTGCAGAATCCCAGAGAGCTTCTCCTGCTGCTCTGTGCCCTGCTCTCAGCTGGCCGTGGGGGCAGACACAGACACGACAGACGGACATGCACACACTGCCCACGGGCCTGAGTCTCTGTACAAA